CATATTGTTGGGGTGGGCACGCTCCGGTCATGTCGCATATTGTTGGGGTGGGCACGCACTGGATAAGCCGCAAGCTGCTGGGTTTGCATGATCTGGACATGCTGCATGCTGGCAGAGTGGAATATGCTGTTAATGCTGCGTGCTCATTTTCGCATGGCTCCAGCCCTTATCTGCTTTATTAAAACGATTATTTATACAGTAAGTCACATTACCTAGTGGATCTCTGGCTAATTAAAATTAATTCTCTCAACAACAGAAAAAATCATTCAAAAACATCAAACTCCAGCATACGTCAACTGTGAAATTATGCCCACAGTTGCAACTTTAACACTCTCGAGAGAAAAAGTAAAATTGGATGAGAAGTGTAATTTATCTAAATTACAAAAATCCCACATGGAAATGCATGATTATGCTTAATGTCAGTCTCACCCATCATAAGACTGGCGCCATGATGACTGGTCTGTGGCAGAAACAATGGAAAAGGCTCATATACTACAGGGGAATTACAGACGAACCCATATCTAAATATGCAAAATACACAGAATGGCGCAAAGTACACAGCTAATAAATCAGATTTAAGTTTTTGTTATTTTTCTTGCAAATTAGGGGCACCATGGGATGTTAAACGACAGGGCAAATCTAAGATATGAGAAAATCTGTTGTAAAGAGACTATACAGCGATGAGTAGATGACAACAGCTAAAATTTTGGTTGATATCTCAGTTAAAGCAACTCGTTTGGCAAAATAAGTAAATACTTAAATAAACAGGGAATTTCTAGAAGGTCAAGAAGTGAAAGTTCCTCCGCTGTGAAAAAACAAAAAGCCACCTCATTCCTGTCAAGGGGCAGTAAAACGAAAAGTCGTGAAGAATTATTGGAAACCCACCTGATCTCCACCATGCTTGCTACACTTCTCTGTTCTTGGAGAACCACACAGACCAGCTGAAGCAGCTCTCCAAAAAGTCCGCCATGCAGATAAAAGATTGTGAGAAGTATCCTGCCTTATTAAATGTGAAATATTACACTAGTTCTTTTGTTCCTAAGCTAATGTATGATTTCTTGTGTATGCATGTATAAAAGTGAATACGTGATTGTATGGGAAGCCTGTTAACTTTAGGTAGCAATGCTTTTCTTATAGAGTGGTTGTGTCTATATGAAAATTTAGAACAGTGTTACAGTACAGAAGGCAAACATCAGATTAAGAGTCTGGTTGCTACTAATATTTAACTTAAGTTTTCAGCTTATTTAAGTGATTACCACTGACAGGAAGCCATTTTTCTTTGTCACCATCACAAAACAATGTGTAGCCCATTAAAAATCATTAGAATAAAGGATTAAAAACACATAAGATGCCAAACTGGCACAAACCACTATTTATGACAGTTATAAAGAAAATGGTTGTTTCTTTGATTTCTGACATAACTGTCGTTGTATTTTCTGGAAAGCATTCATATTATTTAAAAACAAACGGAAAGCCCTGCAGATTGCTTAAGCAGATCCCGCTTCTGAATAATACATTTAAAGACAAAAGGGGCATTTTGTTATCTGACATATTTTTCAGTGTCTGTTATGACAGTTTCCACAGTGTCAAAAGCAACAAAGCAACACTGACGTGGGGGACATACTGTAGGGGACAAACCAGAAAACGAGGGACAGGAAGAGAAATATCCCAGTGTCCTTCCAGTTCCAGTCTCTGCCATGTTTTATTTAACTTAGGTATATGTGGACACCAGTAATGATTACAAAGGTTTAAAGTGATCCAGAAGTGGATTCTGCTGAAAAGATCAAGATTCCAGCATAATTTTGAATGCACTGTGTGTTTGAGCAAAATTCACATCTAGTAATAGTGTCTATGCTGTTGATACAATGGTTTTACAGTTTCTGCCTATTTACAAGGATTTGTTACTAGATCAGTTCAATTTAAGCATCTTCAAATGGTATTCTGGCACCTGAACCAGGAATTTAAGTCTAAATCTATAACCACTGCACCACCTGCCACCGATGACTTCCATTGTCATAATTAGTAGACAACATACAGTATGTATTGGAGTCACAGATGAACATTTGATAAATCCATCCATTCTTCTTCCAGCTATTGATCCAACACAAGGATGCAGGGAGCTGGGAGCCTGCTGGATCCTATCCCAGGAAACACATAAGAACATAAGGCAGGGAAACACCCTGGAAGGGATGCCAGTCTATTACAGGGCCACGCATGCCCACTGACACAGAAATGCACACAATGGGCATTTCAGAGGACACCACATTTTGGGGAGCAGGAGGAACCCATAGAAGGGAGGAAGCCCACACAAGACCAGGGAGAACATACACACTCAACACAACACACCCTGCAGGTATGAAGACAGAAGTCCTACCAAGTGACCCACTGCACAGCAAATTATAGAAATAAAAAATCAAAAGGTACACAGTCACTCTAACTGTTTAAAAATTTTGGGTATTGGTACAAGGCGTTCTAGAGGAAGAATTGACATGGTGCAATGTCTGGCGTGTGTCATGGCAACCATGCAAGCCCAATGTTTCTGCTTATATCAGCCAAATAAAGGTAAAAATGAAACAAGGAAGACGGAGGAAATAGAGAATCAAGGCTGCTTCAATAAGAATAGATTCAATTCTTTTAACCATCTCAGGAAAATGACCACCCCAAAGTACAACAATAATGGAGTGAGTGGGTCAGACCTGAGGTGCATGGATATGTTAATAGAGGGCAGAGCTCCAGTGTCCCCCTCACACACTCCTGGAAGCATTTCACCCAGCCCATGGGGGGGGGGGGAGTCCACCAGGGTTTACATAAACTAATCAGAAAGATAATGCAGCTCCCATATTTCTGCTAATAAAGCAGCACTGCTTCACTATTGATTCTTTCATATAACATGACTGAAGAGTATGAGTGAAACCCACACCCAGGAAAATACTCCATATGTATTATATAATACATTCATATAACATGACTGAAGAGTATGAGTGAAACCCACACCCAGGAAAATACTCCATTCATATAATAGCTCTTTACTTACCATCTGTAACCTAGCACATATAATAATAATATTTGTTGTTGTTGTTTTTCATTATTATTATTATAATAATCAAAATAATTATTATTATCGTTATTATTATTACTACTAGTAATATTCATAATAATAATAGTGATAATAATAATAGGACACATCCAGTGAGACGCAAGGAGGATGCCTAGGCAGCCCCTGAAGTCTGGCCCTCAAGAGTGACACAACCCCACAGTGCCAGTGATCTGCTCCTCTACTACACCTCCAATATGTTCCCATCTCCGAATCCTGCTGTGTCAAATTAATACTGATAATGGCACCGAGGTAGACGCGTGCTCTCCAGCCAGGAGCTGGGCCATCTGGCCCAACGTGCAGCAGGCGGCTTCCTCTACACTTAAGATGACAGGAGGAGAAGCGCAGATACGTCACAGAGACGAGCGCTCAGACTTCAGAGGCACGTTCCCTTCTGTGGAGATAGCCAGGTCACTGCCACGTGATCCGACCCATCAGTCAGAATCAGCTCCTGCCTAGAGCATTCCAAACGGTTTCTAACCATCTTCTCAAGATGAATATATAATCACTTAATTCTGTATCAGACATGAGCCTGCAGCCTGCCCCAGACAGGGGACACTCTGGTGGGGATTATCCGCAAAATCGACTTGATGTTATATATATATATATGTGTGTTTTTTTATGTTATATATGTATACGTGTATACTTATATGTATGTGCATACATACTTACTATAATATGCCAATATGGGGAACCAACCCCATATACATATTACTGGGTTATTAAACATTTAAGTTATTTCCAGACTGATATGGTTCTGCAAAGCATATTAGTGATAATTAGTTGTGACGCGCTTCTCTGAATGTTCTCCACTCAAACAGAGAGTAACACACCCTGTCAACACAGATATCCACTGCAAACAACAGGCAGTGCAGCATCACCACCACTACAAGGATAAGACCTTCCCACATACTCACATAGCAAACTAGTTTAATGCCAGTCCCGTCTGAAGGCAGACTATAAGATGCACATTCTCTCCATAATTGGAAAAATTGTGTTGCTATGTGAACCAGTTTCCAGAAAAACCAATTTTAATGAGCTGTAAAAGCTGGTACACAATAAGGAAGGATACCGCTCTGTGTTTATATGATGTTCGTCAAGAAGGTGGTAGGCACAATAAAGTTCTTCAGAAAACAGTTCAAAAGGCATCATATATGACAAAAAAGCACTAGATTTATGAGAGGTTCTCACAATCAAATTACTCAATTAATTGGTCTGGGCTTTTCAGAAGCAGCAGACCTTGGAAAACACACTACTGCATGAGAGAATAGAGCTCTGGTTCTAAACACACTCCTCAGCCAAGTACCACGCTTAGAATTCACCGCCAGCTTAAGCACATTAGATTCATTTTTCAGGAAAGGGAACACTTCTGTGGTCCATTCACACACAGGACATACAGGAGAGGAAGGTTAGTGTGGCTCAATCTAAAAAGCTTTGTCTTCCACACTAGAGGTAACATCTATCAATGTCAAGGGTGAACAATGTTTTATTTGACAAATGCCAAGGCCACCTTGTACTCTAAATGACAGATAGACACACAGGCGGTACACGACGCATGAGCACAATGAAGTTCATACACCCCATTTCCTTACAAAAAGGCCGGAGGTGTCGGGATGAAGAGGGCAGGGGAAAAATGTTATTGTTTGGAGACGATAAGAGAGAAATAAAGCCTGCTTTGTGTCCAGCTGAATGTACACTCTGCAAAAACACTACTTCTCTCACACAATTTGTGTGAAGCACCAACTGTTTATTACTGTCCAAAATCAGAAAACCTCCTGAATATGAACAGTCTCAAAACGCAAGTGTGGAATGTCAGTAGGCCATCATTCAAATGCATTAAATACCGTTTAACGCACAAAACACTGGTTGCCACCAAAACAATTAAGAAGAGAGAGCAAAACCCTACCTGATCCTCGTTTGGAGACCACCTTCAAGCTCCTGGTGACCACGGCAGACAGCAAGATCAGGAATGGGGTAGGCACTTTCATCTTTCAACTGCCCGAAAGTCCTGGTGGGGGGGTTGAAACAACATTAATTACTTGTCTACCATTATTGATTATTATTTACTGCTTAATGATTCTGGTGTTCAAACTGACAATCCTAAAGATGTGGACCAATAACAGGATGTTGTCATTGACAAGCAGTAGGTCTGCACAATACGAGGAAAATCTGCGAAGCGCGAAAACATTGTTCAGTATTGCGATGAAGATATTACTTGCGATCTTTAGACCTAAACAAATATTCAGGTATCCATATTATAATAAATAAAACATATCAATATATAGCTAGATATACCTTATAAATCATCAACGATGATAGAAATAAATAGATGGAAATTAGCTAATGATACGTGTCGGATATATTTTTATAATTATGCAAATTTAAAATAGCAATAAATTATCAAAATAACAAGATTTCATGTTTCAAATAAATGTTAAAGTAATTGATATCTCTTTTCTGTGTTGTCATTCAATTTCAACAATAATGGGAGTGATAAGGATCATAGTGAACAGAATGTAGAGCTGACTAGGGATATGTGACCCCAGCCAATTTGAGTTACCTTTCAAAACAACGAAACTGCCTTATATAAACAAATCCCATGGTCATTAAATATGGAAATGTGTCACACCTAAGGCAGCCTCAAACGCAGGTTTGTATGATGGTGCAGTGGTGTGATGGGTCAGATGGAGGCAGAGCATTCCATGGCTTTTTAGAAACCAAATCCAAAACTGCAGCCAAAACTCATTGTCTTAATAGGCAATGAGCCAGAATAACCATAACAGGGCAGAAAAATACCAGACTTGGAAACCAAATGCTAAAGTCGAAGAACAGGCAATAGGTTGGTGAACAGGCAGCAACTATCAATGGTACCAACAAAGAGAAAATAGGACATGCATCACAGGAAGGGTATCTGGCTCTGTCGCGGACCCGGGCTGGATCCCAGATCCGAGCTGGGACTGGACGGGAGCCCTGAAAAGTGGGTTAGTTGTGGAGTTTGCATGTTCTTATGTTGCTGTGTATGTCCCTCTGGGTATTCTGCTTCCTCTGTGCACTCTGAAGGCATGCTGTTTGCTACACTGGCAACTTAACTGCCATTCCTGTTTTTTTGTTTTTTTTTTTACATTGTGGGGACCATTTTTCAGGTCCCCACAAAGATCTGTGAATGCAAGCAAAAAAGAAAAAATGCCAAAAGTCTCATATTTTGTTTGGTTGATTAAGGTTAGGGCTGGGTAGGAGTTAAGGTCATCATGTTGGGATTAGATTTTTCCCCATAGAAATGAATGGAGAGTCCACACAAAGATATAATTACAAACCAGTGTGTGTGTGTGTATGTGTGTGTGTGTGTGTCCTCTGAAGGGCTGGCATCCTGTCCAGGGTCTTCCCCTGTCCTGTGCCCTGTGCTGCCTGGGACAGACTCCAGGCCCCTCCTGTGACCCTGAACTGGAAAAACATTTGGAAGATGGATGGAAAAATGGCAACACAAAAACGTGCATTTGCAAACAGAAGATGTTTCAGCATTCACTGTCTTTTTAGCAAAGAAGTCAAAGAGCTTTAAAAATTAGTTCTAGCACACTAATCATTTGTTTCTGGGCTCATGTTTTAAAAGAGAACAATAAAATTAACTGATACGGTAAAACCATAAAATATTTAGGAACATTGTTCTGTCAAAAATAATAAAACATAGTTTGTAATTAGTCTCCCCTTTGTATGCCTCACAATTTAACAGTAACCTCTTTCAGGTAATTATTAATGATTTTTTTCCCTGCAAAGTTAAATGAATAATTTTAATAGGGTTAATCTGTGTTTTAATATAGGAATACTCCAGAAAAAATGGTTATTGAGTTTTTTGGATATAATCAACCAGAAAGAAGTGACCAATGTACATGCATTTGTAACATAAGCCATGTGTGTTCTTAGATGCTGATAGTTCGTCTAATTTCCAAAATGTAATCATATTCTTATGAAATGGAGGAAAAAATATTTAACTTACTTTTCTAAATGGCACATCGGGTGTGATTGTGTGCATGTGTGTGAGTACTAGATAAGTATTATTGATGGATGGATGGATGTCAATTAGGTCAGATCTGGTTGGAGAGCATGCACTGGCCCAGTGCTTAGCCACGCCCACCGATGAAACACCTCGATCCCAGTTGGTGCCTCCCCTCCCCCTCAGGCCGACATACGGTCCAGTCCCACCCTCTGGAAATGCCCGTCTATCCGCCGCAGCCAGGTGTTACGTGGGCGTCCCCTCGGCCTGGGGCAGCTGCTCAGGTCCTTAGCGATGATGTCACTATAAATTTATTTTTCTGTTTATACTGCATGGATACCCTGGCAGACTCAAGGGCCCCGGCACTTCACAGAGGCCCTCAGTACATATTACCATAATTGGGGGTGGGGGGGAGGTGACATCTTGTTAGGTGGCCCGACATTTCTAGCTATGCTCAGGCACAATTAAATAAATTGTGTGTGTATGTGAGCATATAAATATATTATATATACATACACACACACATATATATATATATGTGTGTGTGTGTGTGTGTATACATATTGTATGTATGTATGTATGTATGCATGCATGAAGTGATTACTACAAAGCCCACTTTCTGACCATCTAAGATTTTTCTTCCCATGCACCTGCACCAGTAAAAAGCCTTTGGGACTTTTTTGCATAAACCCAGCTTTTGTTTGTTAAGGAACATCTTCAGACACTCACAACATTATGGAATATATTCCTCGGGCCCCATGTTGGGTACTCGCACAGATAACTCCCATAATCTAATATTCTCTGCAGTTTTTAATTCTCATAATCTAATAATACCATCAAATTAACTGAACAAGAAAGCAGAGGTTTGATGAGGCCAACTCTCCCTGGATAGATATAAAACACAGACGGCACCATGCTCAGTGAAAAATGGTTAATATCTACAAGTCACTGTCAATACAGTCAGAATATCTGAGACTAATTAGGTGAAGAGCTTTGCCATTATGTCTAAAAGAATGAACTTTGACATTTGAGTCTGACAATGATACTGCACATGGTCTGAAAGGAGCACTCTGTTAAGGCACAATAAGCTTCGCAGCACAGAAAAGGTGACATTCATGAGTAGTCATCTAGTGTCAAGCCAATAAATAAATAAATAGCAGCAGTAATAAGTGCTTATTTTTAAATGAAATGGGACAAACAATGAAGCACTTGTGAAATTGCTTTTGATTTCAATGAACCTAGAAGGAGCCCTGTTTAAATAAACAGGAGCAGTTCGGAGAATCCATCCATCTATCCATTCTATGTACTACTTTTGCAATACAGGTTCACAGTGAATGTGGAGCATTACTATAAAAAATAATAATTACTCAGAATTACAATGTTAATAGTTTGCACTTTGTTTGCAAGTTTTGCATATTCCTACCGTGGTAATAAACAGATAGCGACACACAAAGTTCAGTTACATTGTTTCCAGGGAAACATGGGTCATGTGGCTAATTATAAAACTGCTGAGCTCACTGGCCAGTTGATTGCGGGATGCACTCAATGCTTAATGGAAGCGTGGAATCCAGACAAAAGGGTAAAGGCAGCCTGTCTTATTGCACAAAGCATCTGTCATATTGCTGCCATTAGGAGACAAACCCCAGTTTTATTCCTACATGATTTCCCCCTACAAATACTGTAGGGGGTTGTATGCATGTGCATATAAAGCACAACAGTTCATCATTTCATCATTGACTACAATCCTAAAACTCTGACTGTGCTCTGAAAGCCTGTACTGTCTCCCTGGAAGACACCGTACCTACATCTGTTGTGTGTTATTGCTGCAGAGTCGTCCCCACATCACACGCCGTCCTGTTCATGGCTGAATTCATTTGTGGAAACTGCCTGCTTTGGGGTCCTCTTCAGTAGATTTAGAGATGTGTGCACCCAATGGACCCCCTGTAGTGGAAAAGAACTTCTTCTGCCCCCCCCCCCACCCCAAATCCCATTGCCCCCCCACAGAGCAGCCTGTGCCACTATTTCTGATTTCTGTTTGCAAAAACAACACCTGAGAGAACCAATGGACCTCCCACATACATGCACCCCTAAACAAATCACAGTCCTGCCATTTTTCAGCTTTCTGTTACAAAGTTCTGGGCTTACGTTAGAGACACAGCAGTACAGATGTGCGCGTGTGTGTGTGGGCGTGCGTGTGTGTGTGCGTGTGTATGTGTGTGTGTGTGTGCGTGCGTGTGTGTGTGGGCGTGCATGTGTGTGTGCGTGTGTACAGGTATGTGTGTGTGTGTGTGCCAGCAGGTAAAACATAATATGTTAACAGTTTACATTATATTTATTTAGCAGAAGCTTTTGTCCAATGGGCAAATCTGGGCTCACTAAGCATCCCTGGATCAGTCCAGGTGAAAGGCCTAGCACAAGGGCCCGATGGCGATAACGCAAGGGCCTGATGGTGATAACACAAGGGCCCGATGGTGATAGCACAAGGGCCCGATGGTGATAACACAAGGGCCCGATGGTGATAGCACAAGGGCCCGATGGTGATAACACAAGGGCCCGATGGTGATAACACTACTGCTTGAACCCGTGACCTTTTGGACACCGGCACTGATTCCTAATCCACTAAAGCCACACACTGACAAATGCATTAACATTTTCTAGCGCTTCTAAATGCTATTATTACAATTTAATTTGTACTAGACTATGAATAATGATGCTACTAACCAAGTTACAAACCTAATGAAACTTAGTGGGTAGAAATATCACACTCAAAATGACATGTGAGGGAAAAAGGAGCAAAAACCCAGAGTATTAAAATCAGTGTTAGTAACATGCTACAGTATATGGCGCAAATGTGGCGCATTTCAGACTTTTGTTAAGCCAACCTGACTTCCATTTGCAGCCATGTGAAAAATCTACCATTTTTCTCCTTCCCAATATTCTGCACAGCATAAACATTTAAAAGGTATTTGCTATACATACATTTTCCTTAGAAAATTAATACAGCCAAAACTTTTGATTCC